ATCAAATTCACAAAAATTAAAAGTTTGACAACAAGTGATGGTAAGGACGTGGAGTAACTGACTGTGGATGAGAGTGTAAATTACAATAACCACTTTGAAGAATATTCCCTTTTTTTTTTTTTTTGAGACAGAGTCTAGCTGTCACCCAGGCTGGAGTGCAGTGGCGCCACCATCTCGTCTCACTGCAACCTCCGCCTCCTAGGTTCAAGCGATTCTCCTGCCTCAGCCTCCTGAGTAGCTGGGATTACAGGCTCATGCCACTGCCCCCAGCTAATTTTTGTTATTATTTTAGTAGAGATGGGGTTTCACCATGTCGGCCAGGCTAGTCTCGAACTTCTGACTTCATGTGGTCTGCCCACCTCAGCCTCCCAAAGTGCTGGGATTACAGGTGCCAGCCACCACGCCAGGCCTGGAGAATATTTCTAATATCATTGAAGATTCCCATAATCTATGAACCACTCAGTAATTCCACTCCTAAGCAAATACCCTAGAGAAACCCCCACCCATATACAATCAAGAGATGATGTATACAAGAATGTTAATAGAAGCATTGTTTGTAACAGAAAAAAAAAAAAAAACTGGTACAACTTTAATATCCATCAACCAGAAAATGGATACATAAATTGTAGTATATTCACACAATCTGAAGTTCCACAGTGAAAATAAATTAGTTTTTTTTTTTTTTTTTTTTTTGAGACGGAGTTTCACTCATGTTACCCAGGCTAGAGTGCAATGGCGTGATCTCAGCTCACCGCAACCTCCGCCTCCTGGGTTCAGGCAATTCTCCTGCCTCAGCCTCCTGAGTAGCTGGGATTACAGGCACGCGCCACCATGCCCAGCTAATTTTTTGTATTTTTAGTAGAGACAGGGTTTCACCGTGTTGACCAGGATAGTCTCGATCTCTTCGACCTCGTGATCCACCCGCCTCGGCCTCCCAAAGTGCTGGGATTACAGGCTTGAGCCACCGCGCCCGGCCATAAATTAGTTTTAAAAAGGTATCAACAAGGAAGAATTTCAGAAATATAATACTGAGGAAAAGATGATGCAAGTTTCAGCTAGACACAGTGGCCCATGCCTGTAATCCCAGCTACCCAGGAGGCTGAGGCAGGAGGATTGCTTGATGCCCAGAGTTCAAGACCAGCCTGCACAATATAATGAGACTCAATCAATCACTACAAATTTTTTTTTCATTAGCCAGGCGTGGTGGCGCAAGCCTGTAGTCCTACCTACTTGGGAGGCCGAGGTAGAAGTTTGAGTCCCGGAGTTAGAAGTTATAGCAAGCCATGATCACACCACTGCCCAACCTGGGCAACAGAACAAGACCCTGAATCACAATAATAAAAGATGCAAGTTTCAGAAGAATGCATACAGTAAAATATAATTTACATAAAATGTAAAAACATTCGAAGCATTGCACAGGAATGATAAACACCAAATTCAGGATCCTAGTGTCCTCTAGATAGAAGGGAAGGGATGGCGAGATCAGGGTTGTATAAAGCAGTTCTGCTTGTGATGACAGTGTTAGTTTTTAAGCTTCTTTTATTTTTTATGTCTATTCATATGCTTTAGTGTATATTTTAAAATTTAATGTATATATACTTCATCTAATTCCATTGCCAGGAGTTTATCTTAAGCATTAGCATATTTGATAAGTATCTGCAGAGCATTTTACCAATATCTGCCTTATTCAAATCATCATTCTAAAAACTACAAACTGGCCAGGCAGTGTCTCACACCTGTAATCCCAGCACTTTGGGAGGCCGAGGCAGGTGGATCACAAAGTCAGGAGATCAAGACCATCCTGGCTAACATGGTGAAACTCCATCTCTACTAAAAATACAAAAAATTAGCCGAGTATGGTGGCACGCACCTTTAGTCCCAGCTACTTGGGAGGCTGAGGCAGAGGTTGCAGTGAGGCGAGATTCCACCACTGCACTCCAGCCTGGGTGAAAGAGTGAGACTCTGCCTTAAAAAAAATTTTTTTTAAACACAAACTATCTTTTCACCTAACAAGTCATTTTTTAAAGAAACTCATTCAAAAAGGGAATTAGGACCAAAAGCACATTAGCAGGGTAGGTTAGCATGCCCCAGCCAGGGTGGTTCCCCTGCCCCCCATGACATCAGGTGCTGCTGTTCATCCTGCCTGGCCAGACAGTGCGCCTGGCCTTCTGCCTTGGCCTGAGCTGGTGCTGCTCCGCTGGTTCACATTCATGCGGCTGAAAGCTGGACAGAGCCGGGCTGTTGGCATCATCGCCAGAGTCAACACTTGGCTCACACAGAGGGCACACCTAGGGGTCTGTGAAGCCTTCTTGGGCTGGGGCCTGGCTTTCACAGTCACAAAGTTTGTGGCTAAAAAGGAAAAGAATGAAGCTTAGTGTAGAGGCAGAAGCTCTGGGTGCTGGGTTACCCCAGAAGGAAAGCCCCAGTTCTCAGCCTGGCCTGGGACAGGGAGCGGGAGCACCGCCAAGCAGTCGTGACTCAGAACCTCCCCACTGCACTGAAACCAGAACTGGGTTGCCTATATCTATTTTATTTGACTACTGAGTAAAATTATTTCCAAAAATAAAGGGCTACAAATAGACGTTTAGAAAGCTTTGAACTAGAGAGTACTGATTAGACATGTGGTTCTCAACAGAATAATAAAACTTTTTACAACCATTCTTCCATTTCTTCAGCTATGTGGAGGGAAAGGGGCCTGATAATATCTCCCTTCCCAAACCCTGCAGGGCTGCTGGAAGGATCCGGTGAGGTCAGAGCCAGCTTCAGCTAAGAGGCCCTTAGGAAAAAAATTTATTATTTCCTTCCTTCATAATGGAGGGTATTTCCAGTTCAAATAATTAGTCATGCAAACAAGCCTGCGTGTTTCTTCTAGAAAAAGGAGATGAAGAGGAAGAGGGGTAAGAAGAAAAACAACAACAATTTAAAAGGAGAGAAACTGGGTTCAAGTGCCTGCCGTGAAGGACATAGAGGGCGTGGCCGGAAGGGAAGCGTGGGGAGGAAGAGCACCTGGGACTCGCCCTGCGCCAGACACTGTGCCCTGTGAGACGCTTCAGACATGTCACTGGATCCTCACTGAAACTAGTGCAAGTGCTATCAGCACCATTTTAGAGATGAGAAAACTGAGGTTCAGACAGAATCAATCACTTGGCCAAGGTCAGGCAGAGACACTTGGTGCCCAGGTTAGTCTGCCCCTGGGGTGTGAACATTCCTTCCACAGCCTGGCCAGCGGCTCCTTCTCCTAAACATGGGTGTCCCCTGGCCCCACTTCTCTTTCCCCCTTTCTGTGATCTCCTGTAAGATCTGCAAGATCTCTCTCATCCCTTGAGTTATTCCCTCTGACTTCAGCCCACTGGACATTTCCCAGTTAAGAGCCCACTCTCTTCACAAAACGCCATCTCCAAAAGCAGCTCCTCCTCTGGCCACTCACACACCCCCCCTCCACCTAAGGGCTGCCCTCTTCTCCCTGCCACTCGTGCTCAAAATCAACATCACCTCTGGTGATTTCTCCCCTTTGCCATATACACAATCACTCAATCATCTCCATTCTTTCTTCAAAATCTCCTACTTCTCGCTGTTCACTTTCACCTTTTCTCTTAACACCCCAGCACTATGACCTTGTCAGCCTGGTTCCTTGCAGAAGCCTCCAGCAGGTCTCTGCCAGTGCTTCAAGCTTATCCTGCACACTGCTGCCACACCTGTGGTCCTTACAAACACCCCCTTCATCGTAGCATTCACCTGCCCTCCCAGCTCTGCAGGCTTGCCCACTGCCTTCACCAGACCAAGTCCACACTCAGCCCTGCACTCAAGGCCACTGCACCTGGCCTCCCCACAGCTTCCCAGCCTCACCCCCCACTCCTCCTCTCCCCAATTCCTCAGTTTAGCAAAGAGATTGCTCCAACATAATGCTCCTTTCTCCCCTCCTGACACTTGCAGTCCCTCCTCCCCCAGCTGCCTGTCCCCTGCCTGCCTCTGGCCACCTGTCAGTCAGGGCCTCCCGGGCCCTCCTCCCAAGGCCTGCAGGACTCATTATCTGTACTGTTGATCAAGCAAGTAATTATGCATTGCCTTGTAACTCTCTTCTGTTTAGCCTAGAATAGGCATTGAAACTGACTGGTGCTATTTAATCTTTTTCCTTTTTTTTGAGACAGAGTTTTGCTCTTGTTGCCCAGCCTGGAGAGCAGTGGTGCAATCTTGGCACACCACTACCTCCGCCTCCTAGGTTCAATCGATTTTCCTGCCTCAACCTCCCGAGTAGCTGGGATTACAGGCATGCACCACCACACCTGGCTAATGTATTTTTAGTAGAGACAAGGTTTCACCATGTTAGCCAGGCTGGTCTCGAACTGCCGACCTCAGCTGATCCGCCCGCCTGGACCTCTGAAAGTGCTGGGATTACAGGCGTGAGCCACTGCACCCAGCTGCTATTTAATCTCTATTTCATGTCTGCCTCTATGTCTATACCTACGTATTTCATCACCTAAATACTATAAACCACTTGGAGGTGAGGACTGTCTAAAAGGTCTTGGTTTCTCCCTACAGTGCCTAATAGGTAGATGATAGGTGCTGGATACATGTGTTGAGTTCGTTTTTCTTCCCACATAACTTGGCCTCAAACAAACAGCCAGGGCTAGTCAGAACGTTAAGCATCACCCTTAGAAGTCTACTCTTGGCCACCGCAAATCTGCCACAGGCCAATTTCAATGTAACCCTCAGCTGAGGGTCCCCCACGGGCATCGCTGGTCTCCAGAACGATCGCTGACCGAGGCGAGGCGCTGGAGGCCGCCCCAGCGCGGCTCTGCCTGCTGATTTGGCGATCGGATTTCCATGCCCCTCCCTGGTCCCGAGCTAAAAGGAAACATCCCGGGATGGGGGATGGGGTGGAGGTTCCTGAACTCTGAACCCTGTACCCTCCTTGGTGAAACCACCCCAGCCCAGCTCAGGGGTCGTCAAAAGCACCCTGGGGAACCTCTGCCCCTGGGACAGAAAGGAGACACTGCACCTTTAAGTCTGCACCCGGTTGAGAAAAACAAGCTGTGATTTATATAAGCGGGAAAATCATGTGATTTGCAGGAACGCTCCCTCCTCCCCTGGCCCCCTCCCCGCGTCGCCTCCGAGCCCTTCCCAGAGGGGCCCCGGCGGCAGGCTGGCCCCGGCTGCCTGTGAGGGGCGCGCGCGGGGGGCGCGCCAAGCCTGGGTTCACAAAGCCTCCTCCGGGGCGCGCGTTGCCGCCGCTCTTCCTGTGGACCTCAGACGCGGGGACAGGCGGCGGCGGGCTCCGGGGCGCGGCAGTGTGCACGCTGCCTCGTGGTGGTCTGCCTTTCAGAGGGTCCTCGGCGCGGCCCCGCAGTCCTGGGCCCCCGAGAGTACACGAGGCCCATTCCCTAGGCTGGGTCGGCTGCTGCCCGCAGGCCAGGAGAAACTGAGGCTCTCCCCCAGCTGCTCAGGGAGAAAGGAAAGCCGGGGATCCCACACACTAGCGTTTGTGTCCCAGAACACCCAGCCGGGGGAGAGCAATTTAAGAAATAATCTGGTTGGAAAGGGCATAACGAAAATCAGCCATTTCTAGAGCTGTGGGGCGGTCGTGTTTAGCCCAGAGGACCTAGCTAGCTTTCAGGAAAAAACGGATGTGGCCTTTCAGGCAGAGCCCAGAATAAAAGGGCCTGTGATTAGGAAGCCCTAAGAACCAGCATAGATCTTTTAAATATTGGAGGGGAGGTGAGGTAGCTGCCAGGAGCCCACGCCCACGCGGAGTTAGCTCTGACAGCTTCTAAAGGAAAGGGAGATGCTTAGATCATCCTGAGAAACTGGAAGATTTCCTGAGTGACCTGAAAAGGTCATCTCAACCATCCCCCTGCCGCTGGAGGAATACATGGAGCCCATCCCGGAAGGACTCCCAACGGGAGAGGATGAACCATCACTTCTGAAACCAAGCTCAGGAGAAGTGGAGGGGCTTTCTCAAGGGAGAAGAGCTGGCAGGAGAAGCAGGGGTCTCTCTCAGCACCACTTCCTTTCCGTAAACCATAATGATGGGCTCTGAAATTGTCCAAGGAAGAAAACCCATGGCTTCTCAGAGCAACCAGTACCAGGGGTTCCAGCTCACCAGAGAGCATGTGGAAGTTCTGTTTTATTTTCCTCCTTTGGTCACCTGCTGAGGATGAGGCATAAGCCTAGTGTTGTCTCACCTGGAGGAAAGGTATAATGCAATTAACAAAGCTGCTAATGCCTCCTCTCACCCTGACCTCCGCCCTCAGCCTCTGTACCAGCCCACCCTCCGCATCCTGCACAGCCAGCTGCGCTCTAGGAGGGCCTCCTGGCCCTCCTCCCACCCGCCCTTTCCCTGTTAGATGGAGGGTCTTTATGCTAAGATCACTGCAGGAATACAGCTTCAGTGCCCTCTGTCACACCACCAATGAGAAGAACCTTCCTAAAGGGAAAAGCTCACGGTAGGCAAAGATTCCCGATTATTCCATAAATCCTGAAGAAGAAAAATACAGGTTAACATAGGGATTTGAGAGGATGGCACTCTGTGTGTTCAGACATATGCTGATTTCACTCATTCTGTTATTTGATGATTTGGTTATTTAAGGCCTGCCTGGCACTGAGCTAGGCACTGGGACTACCATGTGAATAAGACAGAGATGGCCCCTCCCCAAACCCTGCCGCTCGCCCCTCCACTCTGCCTCCCAGGACAGGAGGCTATGATAGACTTTCCTCGCCTGCACCAGCGTATGTCTGTCTCTTTCCCAGCCCACCCCTCGCAGGTGTTGCCCCAGCCCCAGCTGCTTATGTCTCGTGTGTTCTGCCAAGAGCTGCTTCTGTCAGAAGGCACTAACTCTCTGGTGATTGAGTGGTGGATAGAAGAGGTAACCTAAAGGCATGTCCTGAAAAATGAGATCAAAGTTGGCAGCCTCCTGGGCCCCTCCCAAAAAAAGATACAGCCACCACCATTTATAATTAATTCAGGCCCCACTTCACTCTGTGCCACCCGCTTTCTGTCTCTCTTTCCTTTTTTTTTTTTTTGAGTTCTCTTCCTGATATGCCTGGCTGCCCCAGTGCAGCCCTCCTCTTTCTGAAGCTTCCTGTGCCAGGGGCCTGTCCATCTCAGAGCCCTCCTGGTGCTGCTCAGCTGCATCCACAGGGGGTCCTGAGTCCCTGGGCCCTGCACAGATGTCTATCCAGGGTCTCTTGGTCTCTTCCGTAGCTATGAAGTCTCCTCACTGAGGGTGCCCAAACACCACCCTTAATCCCAGGTCTGCCAGCCTCTACCTTCTAACCCTCCTAGACCACACCAGCCCCTGCCTTATTCTAGTATATTCCTGATTTCGCCTATTTCCAGCTTCCCTTGGCCATTCACAAGCACAGCCTGATGCTGTGCATAGGAAGACCTGGCAATAAGCCTGTGGTGAACAAATATTTTAAATGAACAAACAAAAATTATGGCCCCAAACTGAAAACACCCTGGAAGCCACAAACTCTGTTACCTTCCAAAGAAGCCAGATCTGGACAGCTGAGGTTTTAAAAAAAAATGCAATGAGTGAATTAGTGAAATCAGCTCATCATGGACACTGTTTCTTTCAGGAAATGAAGCCTCAGAAGAAAAAAGGCATTCCAGCCCCTGCCAAATTCCATTCTGTTTCAAATTAGCCTTCCAGTAAAATGAGGGGGCTGTCCTAACTGGTCTTCAAGGTCCTCCTAGTACCTGAGCTCTGAGGCTCTAGACTTCCCTGAGCAACCTCTGGAACTCTCCACGTTCTCATAACTGAGGAGAAAATCCATTTGTGCTCTGGGCTGAAGCTCAGAAGTGGGCTTTCACGACAGTCATTTCAGGCCTGTTTCCCTTTTTCTCCCTTCCCTGAAAGGGCCTCTGGTCTTTCCCAAGCTGCCTGAGTAGAAGGGAACACGCAGCTCCCCCGGAGCAGAGGGGCCCGCAAGAGGGAAAGCTGGCCCAGGCCCAGGACAGGCTTGCCTCTCACTCTGCAGAGACATTCTTCCCTCCCAGCCGGCAGGGAACTTCTGGAACTTCTAAACAGCACATCCTCGAGCCAGCCCAGGCCCCCATGGCATCCTGCACCCCAGGTTTACAAGCTTTTAGTGGTAACTAACACATTTGGCAAACCTCCTCAAGTGTGAGCCAAGCCAGGCCTTTCTCCCCAGGTCCCAAGTAACAAAAGGATGCTGGGCTGGGCCTAAAACAGGATCAATCTAGCCAGATGAGCCTAGAGCCTTGGTTCTCAGGGCCAAGGCTGGAGAGGACCAGAGAGAAATGTCCTCGGCCAGCCTCATCGTGGTCTCCGTCACCATGCAGCCTGGTCCAGAGATTTCAGGATGCATCACTGATTCCAGGCAGGGCTCCATCCCCGGCCCACACTTAGCCCAGGACCTGGCCAGAGAATCACCAAGCATTCCCAGCAACATGATGCACGGCTCACTCTTCATGCCAGGCTCCTCCAGGTTCTGGTGGGAGCAGCCCAACCTTCTCACTGGATTCCTGCTATGTCTGGTGGATACAAAAAGCATATGTTGGCTGGGCACAGTGGCTCACGCCTGTAATACCAGCACTTTGGGAGGCCAAAGCAGGCAGATCGATTGAGGCCAAGAGTTCAAGACCAGCCTGGCCAACACGGTGAAACCCTGTCTCTACTAAAAATACAAAAATTAGCCAGGCGTGGTGGTGCAGACATGTAGTCCCAGGTACTCAGGAGGCTGAGGCGAGACAGTCATTTGAACCTGGGAGGCAGAGGTTAAAGTGAGCTGAGATTGCACCACTACACTCCAAACTGGGTGAAGAGTGAGACTCCGTCTCACACACACACAAAAAAGCTTATGTCACCTGCCATACATCTCTGCTTTCAGATGATTTTAAAGAGAATGTTGTTTTGAAAGCTTGAGACATGTTCTGGGCTTGGCTTTGGTTCTACCTCCATCTCTGTTTTGAGAAACACAGTCCTCTTCTCGGTGTATCTGGAAATCTTGGAGACAGTGAGCTGAACTACAGGGACTTCCTCATTACCTGGGCTGTGCCTCGTCCAAATGTTGCTAACGGTCTCCAAGAGAAATCCATCCACTCCTTCCTTTGGGCTGTCTAACTGGCGTGCCTGCCCTATAATATCCAAGTGGCGACTCCAGCCCCATTCACCTAAGTATAGGGACTCCATCATGTGTCCCCCCAACCTTGCAGTCCCTCTCAAATCTTGCCACCACCCCCCAGCTTTCGGATGCCAAGATTCTCAGAAGGTTTGTGCTTCCTCTGGTGACCTCTGGCTCGGACTCCCTGCTTCCCGCCTCTCAGCCTCCATCTGCACCTCCTCCCGAAGCTGCTCTCCTCTCCCACCCCCTCTTTATCACCCTCTGCTCAGCCCTCTCTGGGCATGATCCCAGCCACCCCCAGCTCACACAGCAGCAGACTTTTACTCAAGGTTAGGGGTCATAGAGAAAGAATGACAGTAAGCAAATGAAAATCTGTGAATAGACATTACCCTGAAAGTTCACCAACCATCTCCCACCTCAGAAAACTTCTCACTGTTCCCTAAGTCCCAACTTAAACCATCTTCTCTCCAACCTTTCTCTTCTCTTCTACAGCCTTCTACCCAAACTCCAAGTTCCTGGGGATTCTTCTTGCAAAACAATTTGTCTTGCCTTCCACATGCCCAGAAAGTCTCATTGTTCTTACCAGAGCGCTTCCCTGTCAGAGTTGATCATAGCATAATCCTCAAAACATCTACCTCCAGGATAAATGCCAGCCCACCCGTGGAATGATAAAGCACAGCATTTTGTTTTCTATGTAACACTTTCTTCCTATCCACCCCCCACTGCCGCCCCCTTACATCTGGTACCCCTGACAGTCAAGAAATCCACCCCAAAATGTTCCTGTTTTCTTTTTCCTTTTTGTTCTTTCTTTCCTTTACTCCTGTATAGGCACGGCACATCACTAACCAGCATTCCTGCTGCACTTGAAAATGGTGATCTAATTAAAAATAAGTCAACATGAAACAGATACAAAAGCACAAATACTGTATGAGTCCCCTTGCATAAGTACCTAGAGGAGCCAAATTCCCAGGGACAGAAAGTAGAATGGTGGTCACCAGGAGCTGGGGAGGGGAGAAGGGGGAGCTGTGGCTTAGTAGGTGTGGGGTTTCAGTTGGGGAAGATACAAAAGATGGAAAATGATGATGGTTGCACAACAGTGTGAATGTACTTAGTGCCACTAAACGGTACACGTAAAAGTGGTACATTTTATTTTGTTTTTAAACAGCCTCGCTCTGTCACCCAGCCTGGAGTGCAATAGTACGATACGGCTCACGGCAACCCCTGCCTCCCTGGTTCTAGTGATTCTTCTGCCTCAGTCTCCTGAGTAGCTGGGATTACAGGCACCTGCCGCCATGCCCGGCTGATTTTTGTATTTTTAGTAGACACAGGGTTTACCATGTTGGCCAGGCTGGTCCCGAACTCCTGACCTCAGGTGATCTGCCTGCCTCGGCCTCCCAAAATGCTGGGATTACAGGCATGAGCCACCATGCCCGGCAAAAACAGCACAGGTTACATTATATATACCTTACCACAATAAAAATAAACAAGGTCTATAACATTTATTCTGACCTCAAGAGAGACCTGCAGTTAATTGCACAAATAGGGGCTTTTCCCTCAGCAACTTTGGATCATATCATTTCTGTGAACAACTGCAGAGATCCTGTGCTCAGGAGATCAGCCTCACCTGCCTCAGGCTCGGTGGTCAATCATCCTTCTGCTGACTCCACCCTTGTGGCTGTAGACTTTATGCTCCCCTTCCAAACTGAGAGGAAACAGAAGAAGCACACAGCTGCTGCCACTGGAATTAGAGCCTTCAGATGCTGGTTTTAAGCCTAGTTCAGTTGTTAACTAGCTTTGGGCAAGTGATTTCATCTCTCTCTCAATATCCTTATAAAGAAAATAGAGAAGATAATAGCTGGTCCCCAGTGAAATAATGGATGTGAACACACTTTGAGAAGTGTGCAAGCTGGTTTCTGTAAGGTCTGACGGGACCATGAATGGCATGGTAATCTGTGTGACCTGCATGTACACCCCAGATGAGTTCCTGGAAGAAATGATCAACCCTTGCAGCGCCTAACTTGAGACATTCTTCTATTGTTTCCTATTCCGGCCCCGATTGACAAGTCCATTGGACTTTGAACTGACCTTGGCCAACCTCCTGACTCCACGCCCTACAACCCGTCCCAGCTTGCAAACCTACGACCCCCTCCCAGCTTGCAAAAAAACGCCCTAAACTGTAACTCCTGTAATTTTCCACTGCCTTCCCCACAACCTATAAAACCAACTCCTATCCACCCGCCTTTGCTGACTCTGTTTTCGGACTCAGCCCACCCGCACCCTGGTGAATAAACAGCCATGTTCCTCACACAAAACCTGTTTAGGGGTCTCTTCACTCAGAGCTCGTGTTTTAACAGTTTCATCATCTCTTAAACATCTCAGACATAAGAA